TTCTTTCCCTAGCTTTACCTCTATTGGGATACCCCGAGGCATATATGGGCTTGTTCCGACTCTTGCATGTTTCCTCTGCTCTACAGCCAAGTTAACGTCTCTTATCACATCTCGTAACTCTTACAAATGAAGAAAATAAACATGTCCTGCAGATCACTGCGAAACACGCGCTATGTTCTGACTATGAATATGGTAGCTCGTAAGCAAAGCCTTGACTCGCTACCACTGTACGACTTCGCTTATTCTTGATAGCAGTACAGTCTTCTAGACTCTGTCACTTCGACATCCTTACTAAGCGCATAGCTCGAGGGTCTTCTTGAGTTATGTGGAATACCTAGTGCCGTGACTGGATGATGTCGCGGGGGAAGGTCATCTGGTGCCGACGCAGTCATACAGCTTACACCTCAGCCGCACGGGACATGGGGATCCACGTTTGATTGAATCTTTCGTTATACATGGTTGTCTGATATCATTCAGCCTGTTTCTTCTTAGATTGAAATTACTCCTACTCTGGAGGAATCCTTCTGCCTCTCGCAAGTCTTCACTTCTCGAAGATGGCGTTCCCATATGGCCAGTACCCACCCTATGACGCTCCAGCTCCAGGTCCGCACCCTAGCGGCGGGGCATACTATACGCCCCAGGACGCCCCGCATGGTTATGGGTCTCAGCAACCATATGGACAGCCTAGCCAGCTTGAACAGTATACGGGTGCCCACGCTTCCCAGCATGATTTGAGCCCGCAAGCGCAACAATATCAGCCGACGCCGCAGAGGGACTTTCTGAGCCCGTCTGATGCGCTGGGATACCAGCATGCGCCCGGAAACTACGAAGCTAGCGGTCGCCAGGGCAGCAACGCTGAGTATTAGTATTGACGCTTCTCTTGTTTTATCTGGTTCTATCTTCGACTAACACCTTACAGCAACCAGCATAGCGACGAACATAGAGGCGCTTCCCGATCACGGCGCAGCCGATCCCGCGCGTCCAGTAGCGCGATGAAGGACAGATCTGGATCGCGGTCTAGGTCTAGATCTGGGTCATCAGCGCAGGATCGTGGCCTTGCGGGAACGTTGATGGGAGGTGCGTCTGGATACTATCTGGGACATAAACAGAGTCATGGTCTCCTTGGTGCTTTGGGTGGTGCACTATTAGGAAATTTTCTGGAGCACCGAGTTGAGGAACACAAGGAGCATGGCGAGGATCATCATAAGCGCCATCGCCATCGCCATCGTCACCATCATCATGATCATCATCATGATGATCATGGACAGTCGCATCTCGATCAACACCACCATGGCCATCGGCATCATCGGAGCCGCTCGAGACATAGTAGACACAGTGACGATTCCTGATGCTTGGGTTCACTGTGAGGAGTGAGAAGCCTGGCACGACGTGATGCACATGGGTTTGAATTGTTCTGCGATAAGAACAGTCGTCGTTCATTGTAACTTCTTTTCATTATGTCCTTGCTTGTACTTTCAGTTCGCTCATGTTGTCTATGCGGTAGCAGATGGATTGTTTGTTTCGCTCCTGAGAGATTAGCTACGCAGTCATACCCCGCATGTTCGTAGCCGTATGTTCGTAGCATGCTCTGTGCCTGGTTATGACTGCCTCATACGTCCTGGCAGACTATGAGTAACTGCAAATACTGCCTCAGTCGCCACAGACTCCTAATAGCAAGTGGCAAAAACAACACTGGAGTTGAAGCATCTTCCACATTCTGAGGAGATCCTTCAGTCCATTGGAGGCTTAAGCATTTCTGACAATAGAGTATTGGTGTTGAAATGGAGAAGAATGGAGTGCTAGTCACCACCTCACCCTGATGTCATGAATTATTTAGGCTTTGATAAACAACCCTGGAACAATGATAAGGGTCGTACCGATGAACCCAGAAAACCGTCCTCTTACCAATGAGAGACGGAGATGATAGTGCTGTAGTATCACGGGACGGCACGTGATCACTTATCTTACGAACAGATGTTAGTCAGTGATCCCGTTCTAATCCGAATGCGGCGGCGGGTTGAAATGAAGCAGCCAATGGTATCAGCTGGATACGCCGATACAGATCAGGAGTTATCTATCTGCTGAAGGATCGACTATCTGTTAGTTTATCAGCCCGTGGAACGTGATTCATTTGTGTCTGTACCAGTGCAAGTGGTCGATCTCTCTCTCAGCTGAGCCCACAATGGATGACTCGTGACCCATACTCGAAGGGCCAGTGTGACTCCCCCAAACAGATGGACAGCCAACACAGCCCTGAGTCCTGGGATTCTTTCACTCCTTCAATCTGAGATATCCTTTTCTATCAACCTTGAGTCTTTCCTTTGTCAAAAATTCCCCAGGGATAGGAAGAAAATATCATATGACTCTTTGTTGTTCATGTTTTGAAAGACATCTTTCCCGCTCCGCTTTACTCTTTCCCGTCTACTTCCCCAGAATCTCCCCCACATTTATTGGGACGCAGCAAGTACCCTGAGCCAGCAAGAGGGTATTTGTGAGTCGAATAGAGTCATTCAGTATGCCTCCTCCGCTATTATACAATGTCTTGCCAGCCGCTCTTCCAGCACACTGTGAGCCCTCGTCACCATTCCTAGCTGCTGTTTCGTCCCACTTGCATATCTGCCTTCCCACGCCTCTTGCGCTCTTATCTTCGATTCTCGGAACGCTCAGCATCATATCCTGGCTTTTTGCACAGCTTCCCCAAATATACAAGAACTACCAGCTGCAGTCAACGTCCGGCTTGTCTCTGTTCTTTCTCGTCGAATGGTGTCTTGGTGATACGGGTAACCTTGTGGGCGCTCTGTTTACTCGGCAGGCAACCTGGCAAGTGATCATAGCCGCCTACTACGTCTTGGTGGACGTTACCCTGGTGTTCCAGTTCTTTTGGTATACACACTACAAAGGCCGAAGGGTCGCATACGGTGTCCACCCCCACTCCCACCATGGCGAAGACACCGGATCGTTTCTGGAGGGAGTGCCGCTGTCAGAGGAGGATTCGATCATTGATATCCCACCACACAAGCCTGCAACGGAAGGCTCAGCTACAAAGGATGAGGAGCTCCTCAAGAAATCGTCGCCCATTGCGATGAACAACCAACCGCTACTATACACTAATGACAAGTTGAGCTCGTCTCGTCGCACGATCACCAGATCAAGCAGTGGTCCTAGCCCGCCGCTCGCCTCCACGCGCACTTTGCTCCTGGCATCGATGCTCTGCGCCATTGTAGCCAACGCACAGCCCACCGAGCACCACCTGCCGCCCGCGGCTTCACAACAGACCACCCTGCTGATCGGCCGCATCTCCTCCTGGACCTCAACAGTCCTCTACCTCGGCTCACGTCCGCCTCAACTCATCAAGAACTACCGCCGCAAAAGCACCGCAGGGCTTTCCCCCTTACTCTTCATGGCCGCCTTCTGCGGTAACTTTTTCTACTCCGCCTCGCTCGCAACCAACCCTAACGCATGGTACGACTCACCCCCGTGGGGAGGCCGCGGATGGGCAGGCGCAGACGGCAACAACCGCCTGGAATGGGTGGGCCTCTCCATCCCGTTCTTCCTCGGCGCCTTTGGCGTCCTCTTTCTCGACGGCTGCATGGGCCTGCAGTTCCTCATGTACGGCGCCCCGGACGAAGAACAGGTTGTTCCCGTCATGTACACAGAAAGACGGAGCAGATGGACCCGCGTCCGGGGCTGGATGAGGGGCTGGATCCCCTCCGTTTCCCCTCGGCGCGAATTCCACGATACCTCTGTGCAGGAAAGCCAGGCGCTCCTGCGCGGAGGACGAGAGAGATACGGCACTGTTTAGATCTTTGCGCCTCCCCCTGCTTTCATGATTCACCGATATCTTATTCCCTTTTTCCAGACGGCACAGCGTGCATGTTTCAACACCTTGATGACCATTATGCTTCATGGAGTACATCTCAATTGTTTTCTTGTCGTTTGCATTTTCTCGCCCTATTCCTGTCTTTGGCGTTGCATTTTGGGAATGGGGATTTTTTTCCGGACGTACACGCATAGATGGATCATCGTCATGACTGGCGGTTTCTGACGGCATGATGCATGTGCATACACTTTGTTCCACTTTTGGTATTTTGCAATGGCGTTTCTTCATCTTCACCTACTACTCAAGCTAGGCGACGGTCGTCCTTTTTGCTTAGATATTCCCGGTGCTGTCAGCACGTCACTGCGGTCTAGTCATGTTTATACTTCGTGCTATGCATTACATTATGCTGTGATATAGGGTCTTTAGACTATTCATCGAGGGGAATAGATTCTGACTTTTCTCATGACACGATTCTAGGGGTTCTGGCTGGCAGACAGGCTTTCACTCGTGGATATATCCATATTGTGTAGAAAGATAATATATTAACAGTCATCTAAGTATAAACATTTAGGTACACTTCCGCCCAAAACATCTCTCTCAGCAATTCCACTTTCATCAACCTGATCAAGGTTCAAGCCCTGGGTCGCAATATCATGCACAATTAAGAGCCGGCCCCAAATCGAACCCTCCAGCACTTGGTGGGGAAGACCGGAAATATTGGTATGTGGCCTAAAAATGTCGAACAATGAAGGGATAGAAGTGAGAAAATAATGATTAAAAGCAAGCGGCCGGGTCCTCCATGTCGTTCATATCACTGAAACGGCAGAGACACCCGCAGAAGAAGGTAGAAGTTGCTTGGTCGTCGTAGGTTCCGCAAAGGCGTATTCGTTCATTGTTCAGATACTCGTGACTTTGTTTTCAAACCAGGCACTCTTCATGGACAGAAGCAAAAGATCAACAGACGATTGGAGCGAACCGTCTGGTGTTACAGGGCAAGAAGTGCTGAAAACCTTGCGACGCGGCATGACCAGCATCGCCGAATCTGGCTCATTATCGGTGGCTCATCCCACGCACGACTCGACAATAGCGCATGATTAAGCGACAATTGTCTCTCGCATGGGAAAGAAAGCCAGGACGGGCACAATTTGCCCTTGAACTTGGTGACGCGTCATGCAGGCAGTTAGTACAATGGCGATTGGACGTCTTGTACACCCCGTCTGATGACATCCTCAATACGCCAACGAGGAGGCACAATCTTCGGCGACCGCTTGCGCCGTAATTCTATCTCCTTCTCAGGAGGATGGCCCATACCTTCATCGGGGGGTAGAGCGCCTCCGGCAATTCCAGTAGAGAACTTCAGTTGCAGGACATTGCCAATCTCGTCGCAGGCAGTCAGGACGCGGTCAAGGTCTTCCTTGGTATGCGCGGCAGAAACGCAGAAACGAGCCCGAGAGGATACAAGAGGAGTGGCGGGGTATCCGACAACGACGACAGAGATCTTTCTCCTAAGCATTTCGTGGGAGAAGGCGGGCATCTTGGCAGGGTTGAAAAGAAGGACAGGAATAATTGGCGAATCGTCGTGACCGTACACTATAAAGCCAAGACGCTTCAATCCGAGGCGAAGATATCGAGAGTTGAAGGCCAACCGCTGCAACCGCTCTTCACCCTGGCCCGGAACAATTTCCCCGTTGATGATGCGGAGCGCGGAAGAGATCTGCGCCAAAATAGCAGGAGCTGGCGCCTCGCCGTAGAAAATACCGGAATTGGTCGCACGAAGTTTGTCAATCATCGCCTTATCAGCGGCAATGTAGCCCCCATTGGCGCCAAATGACTTGGTAAGGGTTCCCATCAAAATGTCTACCTCCTTTGTGTCAATGCTGAAATAGTCACAAACACCCCGCCCCTTGGGACCTATAGCTCCAATTGAGTGCGCCTCGTCCACAAAGAGATGAAATTTATAGCGACGCTTCAGCACAATGAGACCTGGAAGATTGCACATGGATCCTTCCATGGAGTACAGTCCTTCAACAACGACCAGAATCTTCTTCCATGGGCGATGAGTACGTGGCTGGCCCTGAGAGATGGCTTCACGCAGCTTTGCCTCCAGGTCCTTCATGTCGTTGTGCTTGAACATGCCAATGGACGCACCTGAGAGACGGGCGCCAAAGCGGATTGATGCGTGATTCAATTCATCGGAGATAATCAAACAGCCTTTGCTCACCAAGGCCGGAAAGATATTTGCATTTGTACCAAAACCCATCGAGAAGACCATCGAGGCCTCCTTGCCCACAAAGCTGGCAACAAGACTCTCAACTTCGGCATGAAGATCTTGCGTTCCCACCTCAGCGCGAGTGCTAGGAGCACTAATCCCGTACTTCCTCAGAGTATCCTCGGCGTGGTCAGCGCAGGGACCTTCAGACTGGGCAAATCCGAGGTAGTTGTATGAGCTCAGGTTCAAGGTATCCGTAGTAGTTCCGGTGAGATAGAAGTGTTTGTTGTGGTCATCGGTAGCCCGGTCGATCAAGGTGATGTATCTTCCAGGGACCCCGGTCACGGGGCGTTCGAAACAGTCATTAATACGCAGCTTGAGACGACGCACGTAAAAGTTGTCGAAATCACTGTTGAGAGCACCGTATCCATTGCGAGGTTTCAGGTGCCGATAATTCTCCTCGCGGAAGCGCTTCCCGAAGAAATCGCGGACGTGTCCGAAAGCAATCAAAATCAAGTAGCTGATATAAGTAGTGAGAAGATAATAATAGGGCGGTTCGTCCATCACTGGCTCTGGGAAGACACCGCCAGGGTGTCTACTCGAGTAGCGGTGGCTTGGATGGCCGATGGGGCCGAATTGGGCATGCTGCTTGGCCTGGCGACGGGCCTCTTCGGGTGACGGAGGCTGGAATAGTGTGGTCGGAGGCTCGTCCATGTTGGGATTGCCCGCAGTAGCTGTCGATAAAGAAATGGTCGGTAGGGACAGTGATGCCGAACTGATCGGCGGAGCGACAGGACTGGGTTGGAAACTCCCACCAGCTGCCTGGAGAGCGGAGTGTGCGGATTGGGGTTCGGATTTGGATTTAGGGGACGTTGAGAAGAGCTGGGTGAAGCGATTCGGTTTTGATGTAGAGGCTTTGATGGCGATACCGCCCTTTCCAGAAGTAGACGAAAAGGAGGGTGGGTTGGAAGAGTCGTTGGCGAAAGAAGGGGAAGTAGCAGATCGGCGAGGCATCGCAGGGAAGGACTAGACACAATTGAAGACCGAAAGTCGTTCAGGAGTCGTCGAAATGGGAAAAGGGAAAGAAAAGTCGTAGAAGCGGCAGTTCTCAGATGGTGATTGTGGCAGGAGATACGGAGTACCTAGGAGGCAACAACGCTGGTTCTTTTATGATGCGCGTATATTCCTCCTGCACGGAGACTTTTGGAGAGAGCAGACGTTGGGAAAACAACGCCAATGCACTGTAAACCTAAGTCAACCACAACCGATCAATTTGAGTTCGATTTATTTTTTATCCAGGTTTCAATGTTTCAGAAGATGTTGATGAACAATTGTTGATGGTTTGATGGAAATTGGGCGGGTTGAAAGGGGCATCGAGGCAGGAGTTCAGGGTGACCACGGACGAAGGTACCACCAAGTAAGATCACTCGAGGCAGAAATCCAAGCCGAAGAAGCCGGATGGATCTCACCACTTCTCACACGTGGAGGGCTTGGGGCCCTGATGCAGATGAAGAATAATCCGTGCTGTACTCCAATCTCAGGAGATCAAAGAGGAATACAGAGAATTGTCTCAGAAGAACATTGTCAAGCTCATCAGGGTTGAGACGAGCGTTAGAATCCAAAAGTACCAGAAAAACTGGTCGTGAAAAAAAAAATGAAGAAAAAAGGAACTTTTTTTGCTGATGGAACTTACCTCGCCCTTAACCGTACCTTACCAGAGAGACCAGAAACCTGTTCCACGGATTACCAGAGTGGCCCTCCGCTTACCATATGCAGGGGGAATCGCCTGCAGATTTAGCCTGCTTGTCTTCTAGTTATAGTGTAATATTACCGCATGTTACAGACCCACAGCCCCTGGACTAGTGCAGACTCGATACCTTACGATGACTGTGCAGAACTACCTGTCGATGTACCATGGAGTTTGACCCTGATCTTCATTCATGGTGTCTTCCTTTACTCTGATAATTCCATAAACTCGAGGTCTTGAGGAAAGGGGCAATGCAAGGAAACTGGCACAATCGAACAACTTCTGTTTCGTTGCCTGATCTATGACTATTTATGAAAGATATTACCTCAAACTACTTCAACCCTTCAAAGAGTGCTTTAAAATAATGTGTCCAGACTCCAGAACTCTACCTTATCTAGAAGCATTATTAAAAGTATCCGCCTTAGGCACAAGCTAACCTCCGCCTGCACGTGCATGGTGCCTGATACTGGCTGTTGTTAAGCGTGTTGAACCTACCTTAGTGCCTTGTCATAGATTGACCTTAACTTGTGATTCGAATACTAGCTATCACTAGCTATCAGAGGCGTGTTTTTAGAGACTTATGCTCAGATTATTATGAACAGTCGTCTACCCTGTGAACTATCCACATCTAACTCCGTACCATTAGACACTCCTACACTATAGTAGCACAAAAGCCATGGCCCGCGGACAGGAGCAACACAGGGGCGGAAGACACTCCCCTTACCCGCTTCTCATCCGATCCTTTCCGCCCCCGCGATTCCCCAACTGGCTCAACGTGTCTAATGTTGTGTGATCGTATAATTTGGAGATGGCAGATCTTAGATCTTCATTCCCTTCAAGAATTGGTTCAGTGATTCGATTTGATTGCGTTGTCGGTTGCCATCCCTGGTAGTCTTCCCCTAGACAGTCGTACTCGACGGAAACGGAAGGCCGCCACGCTATAAGATCTCCCTCATTCAGACAGGACTCGGCCGTAATCTTTTTTTTACCCTTTTTTTTCTTGTCTATACATCACCGGAGGACCGAAAAAATTATTCTCGACTATCAGCAAGCATGACGGTCAACGGATCTGCCAAGCCTCATGAGGTGTCCGCGGAGGCGAAAGAACTATGGCGGCACTCAGATCCGCAGAGTACCCAGATATATGATTTCATGCAGCGCTTGAATCAAAAGTACCAACTTTCTCTTCAGAACTACAATGGTCTCTGGCAGTGGAGTATATCTAGGCCTTCCGAGTTCTGGGAGGAGATTTGGCACTATACCAATATCAAAGCTCACAAACAGTATGATCGTGTGAGTAGCTCTACTCCGCAATATCTTGATACACCTCGGCTCCATATTCGAGGTATTGTAACCTTCGTCAAAGAACAGAAATACTGATCTTGGCCAGGTCATGTCTTCCGAGAAAGTACTCTTTCCCAGGCCTCATTTCTTTGAGGGAAGCAAACTAAACTTTGCGGAAAACCTGTTGTACCCGGCAAGCTCACCAGCCGAAGATACTACTGCAGTGATTTCTGCCACAGAATCTGATAGGGAATTCGTTTCCTGGAAAGAGCTGCGGGAGCGCGTTCGCAAGTGTGCCAATTCTCTCAAAGAGGCAGGCTTGCAATCAGGTGATCGTGTGGCAGGCTTCCTCGGCAACCATGCTAACACCGTCGTTGCAATGCTGGCGACGACCTCAATAGGTGCCTTCTGGACCGGCGTGTCCCCCGATACGGGGGTCCACGCGGTTCTGGAGCGCCTGAGACAGATCGGGCCGAAGATTTTATTTGCCGATAACGCCTCGTTATATAACGGCAAAGTGCATAGTGCCCGTGAAAAAATTCGTCAGATTGTCTCTGATCTGCCAGAGCTTCAGCTGCTGGTAGTCTTTGAGACTATCAAGCCGCATCAATTCAATGTCGATGAAGTAAAGCCAACCCAAGGGAAAGCGTGTACATACGAGACATTCTTGGCTTCTGTTTCAAATGCATCAGCCGCCCTTGAGTTTGCCAGCCTTGATCCTGATCACCCTGTTTACATACTTTACTCGTCTGGCACCACTGGTGCGCCCAAACCCATTGTCCATGGAGCGCTGGGAACGTTGCTGCAGCACAAGAAGGAGCATGTGCTCCATTGCGATATTCGTCCAGGAGACCGCTTGTTCTATTTTACGACCACAACATGGATGATGTGGCATTGGTTGGCGTCTGGTCTTGCCAGCGGTGCCACCGTCGTCCTCTACGACGGTTCTCCTTTCCGACCCTTGGACCCGGAAGGAGGGAACGGGGAGATGGCCATGCCGCGCCTGATCGATGAGTTGCGAATTACGCATTTTGGGACATCTGCAAAATTCCTTTCCATCTTAGAGCAGGCCTCACTGAAACCAACACAACACCCTCACCGGCCAGTGACCTTGCAAACACTGAAGGCTATTTTCAGCACTGGGTCTCCTCTGGCACCCTCTACATTCGAATATGTGTACTCTTCCATTCACCCGGATGTTATGCTGGGTTCCATCACCGGCGGTACCGATATTCTCTCACTGTTCTGTGCGTGTTGCCCCATTTTACCTGTTTACAAAGGCGAAATTCAATGCCGTTGTCTCGGAATGGCGGTGTCGGCATACGACTACTCTGGAACTGATATCAGCGCCACGAACGAGCCCGGTGACCTCGTGTGTACAAAACCATTTCCCGCCCAGCCGGTGATGTTCTGGCCACCGGGCCCAGTTGGCGCGGAAAAATACCGCAAGAGCTATTTTGACGTCTTCGGCCCACGCATTTGGCATCATGGCGACTTTGTCCGGATCAACCCACGCACCGGGGGAGTACACATGCTTGGCCGAAGCGATGGTGTTCTGAAGCCGGCAGGTGTTCGATTCGGAAGTGCAGAAATCTACAACATCCTCCTGAAACACTTTGCTGAGGAAATCGAAGATTCTTTGTGCGTAGGACGCAGGCGAGAGGGCATCGATACTGACGAGACTGTCGTACTATTTGTGAAGCTCGCCTCGCATGGCAAGACGCCCACAACCATGCCTGCGGACCTTGCGGCGCGGATTCAAGCCACTATCCGCAAAGAGCTCAGTCCTCGCCACGTCCCCGGTATAGTGGATGTCTGCCCTGAAATTCCGGTGACATCCAACGGCAAAAAAGTCGAAAATGCGGTGAAGCAGATCCTTTGCGGACTAAATATCAAAATTGGTGCAAGTGTCGCAAATGCTGGTTGTCTGGACTGGTATAGGAACTGGGCTGCTAAGCATCCATAGACTGAGCCTGCTCGAAAATCTGTGATAGATACATTGCACGAGAAGATGATAAAATAGACCATAGAGACAGTAACGCAGCCTCAACCCCTAATTTCGAATTCCAGCTATTCGTCTCCTCGGATCGAAGTCAAAGATGAAACAGATATCATCCATCAGAGAATATATAAACATTGCCTTGGGAATATCAAATAATACAAGATTCAGACATTCCTAGATTACTGCTCAATTCACCTGATTCTTAGGCAGCTACCCTGTGTGAGTAAGCTGGATGCCTGCTCTGTCAAGGGATATAATGCCTAGTTCTTGGGGCTAAAGTCAATTGCTACGAGCTTGATTTTAATCTTGGACTCGGCACGCCTGAGTGTGTGCGCAGACCGCGGTTCCTGCCCGTTGAGGGCTTGATGTATCTTCTACCTAAGGCGCTTGGATGGTGAGATTGCTCTCTTGGTCTGTCTTTGGGATGAGGACTTGGAGAGGCTGAAGGCGAATGAGGAGTTTGCTAGGTATGGGAAGCATATTGAGTACCTACTATGTACGAGTCTAGGGAGCAGTGTATATATCAAGAATGGCATGGATACAGCTTGACATGCACAGCATCATACCGCAAAAATATGTAACCAAATTCATACGGGATTTTGTTCGCTGCTAGTGAGATGCCGCGCTTCTCACCAAGGGAACAGAATTTACTCAATCCTAAACGTTTCCAAAATCCATCAATCGAGCCTCACAGAGAACAATATGTCGAGTTGATACTGGTCATTCTTAACATCATTGTTGTTGTCTGCTACAGTGATTGATTAGATAAGCCATCGATCGGGGCAAGTCTCCGGTCCCAAATCTTTGCGCCGCCGCCGTTACGAAAGACCTTCATGAAGCCACGCCGAGCGGAGGACTAACAATTGGAATATTTTCATTGTTCCAACTAAATCATATATCTTAGCGACAAGATGCGTCGCTCAGTCTTGCGCGCTGTCGAGTCTGCGAAGCCTCTGGCTCGCGTCCCTCGTTCAACCTCCAGAAGCTTTGCTACACTCAATGAGTCCAAGGTAAGAGCTGCAGGCATTGCTTTTCCTTAGCGGCCAAGTCGTCGTATAAGGCTAATTTTCATTTTCGCCCCTTATAGGACCCTGCCGAGCTCGATCAGATTACTACACTGCCTAATGGAATCCGAGTCGCTACAGAATCCCTACCCGGACCCTTTGCCGGCGTTGGCGTCTACGTCGATGCGGGATCCCGCTACGAAGACGAGAGCTTGCGAGGCGTGAGCCACATTATGGACCGACTAGCCTTTAAATCGACCAAGTCCCGAACAAGTGATGAGATGCTGGAGACGCTCGAGAGCCTGGGAGGAAACATTCAGTGCGCTTCGTCTCGCGAGTCGTTGATGTACCAGTCGGCCAGTTTCAACTCGGCTGTCCCCGCGACCCTGGGGCTTCTGGCGGAGACGATCCGCGACCCTCTGATTACTGATGAGGAAGTCCTGCAGCAGTTGGCGACGGCAGAGTACGAGATCAATGAGATTTGGGCCAAGCCTGAGCTTATCCTGCCGGAGCTGGTGCATATGGCGGCCTACAAGGATAACACATTAGGGAACCCGCTACTCTGTCCTCGTGAGAGATTGGAAGAGATTAATAAGGCTGTTGTCGAGAGATACAGGGAAATCTTTTTCAAGCCGGACAGGATGGTTGTTGCTTTTGCCGGTGTGCCGCACGAGGAGGCTGTTAAGCTTACAGAACAATACTTTGGTGATATGAAGGCCACAAATCCTGGCAAGGGTCCCGTATTATCAGGGACTGGAGCTGAGACGACCCTGTCGGGTTCAGAGACAGCGGCTCAGGAAGGACAGGTGCCGACCGTCCCTCAATTTACGCCATCGTCAACAATTACCACAACCCCAACCTCAAAAACTCAGTCTGTCCTTTCCAGACTACCTTTCCTGAAGAACCTCTCTACCACTGCATCGAAGCCTGCGTCTGTGGCACCCCTTGATCCTTCGTTGGTGCAGCCGTCATCGTTGGACCTGACAAGCCCCTCTCACTACACTGGTGGATTCCTCTCTCTTCCTCCGATTCCCCCACCAGCCAACCCTATGCTTCCTAGGCTGAGCTACATACATCTCGCCTTTGAAGCTCTCCCTATCTCGAGCCCTGACATCTACGCCCTCGCAACCCTTCAGACTTTGCTCGGAGGCGGCGGGTCTTTCTCCGCGGGCGGTCCCGGCAAGGGTATGTATTCTCGTCTCTATACAAATGTGCTGAACCAGCACGGATGGGTGGAAAGTTGCATCGCTTTCAACCACAGCTACACAGACAGCGGAATCTTCGGTATCTCCGCCTCGTGCAGTCCTACCCGTACGACTGAGATGCTTGAGGTCATGTGCCGCGAACTGCAGGCACTGACTCTCGACACGGGCTATAGCGCCTTGCAGCCACAAGAGGTCAACCGTGCGAAGAACCAACTCCGCTCCTCACTGCTGATGAACTTGGAATCCCGCATGGTGGAATTGGAGGATCTTGGCCGTCAAGTCCAGGTTCACGGCCATAAGGTTGGCGTCAAGGAGATGTGCGACCGCATCGAGGCCTTGACCGTGGATGACCTCCGTCGCGTAGCCCGCCATGTATTTGGAGGCCACGTTCAGAACAAGGGCCAGGGCACCGGTATCCCGACGGTGGTCTTGCAGGAGGGTGAGCTAGAAGGGTACAAACTTCGTCCTTTCCCATGGGAGGAAATTCAAGAACGGATTGCACGGTGGAAGCTGGGAAGAAGATAGATTCGTATGATCCTGCATAGCGCAGCTCATGGATTCCCACTGATTCAGGACCGGGTCTGGATGTACTATATAGAGGGTGGATGTCAGCTTTTACTTTCTTCACTCCCCATTTTTGCATGAGATTTGGCGTGCCATATGTATCTAAGGATGGCATCAATAATCGTCTTGTACAATATCAATCCTGCTGAGGCGGTAAGCTTATGATTAATCCGTATTGTTTATAATCGCACTCCCTTGAACCGTCGGCTCAACCACAAATCACGTTGGAGCTGCTTGCCGCTTTAGGGTCGTCTGGTTCGGGAAAAAAGTTGGAGCGGACCACTTTCAAGTCCGCAGTCTGCCAACAATCTCCGTCACCTTTAGCATCATATTTCCAAGCCCTCACAAAGTCATTTGACCACTTCTTTCTAGCAATCTTTCTCCCGAGTTAGTCTATTACCGTCACAATGGTCAAGCTCACCGAGGTTGAGGATGAGCACTTTGCTCAAGAGAAGCCCATGGCCACCAAGAACAATGTTCTTCTTGCCACGGACGATGAGGACGAAGACTACACTGACACGGGTGAGCAACCTCTACTGACGCCGGTCGCTCTTTCTCTATGAGCTTCTGTTCCATACCCATGCGCACTACTATCATGCATCTCGCTCCGTCATCCAAAAACATCCCGATCCATTGCCGGAGGTGATTCTTCAGCCGGAAACATAGCCAACATGCATTTTCGCACTGACAAGACCGCGAAAAAAACATTATCTAACCATTCAATCCAATCCCAGAATCCGAAATTTCCGTTGAATCCGACCTCGACGTCGAAAGCGAGACCCTGTACGAGCGTGTGGCTGCTCTGAAAGATATCGTCCCTCCGTCAGCCCGGCGCCAGATCTCCTCCACCGTTTCCACACTCACCTCGTTCACAAAGTCCAGCATCTCCTTCAGCGGAAAGGCGCTCTGGATTCTCAGCACCAGTGCTTTCCTTCTTGGCGTTCCATGGGCGCTTGCCTATGCCGAAGAGGAGCAGTACGTTCAGATGGAGCGTGAGCAGGGAATGATCAAGGGTGCTAACGAGGTATGTTGATGGACGTTTTTCCTCTTTAAGTTATTCCATCGGATTGTTTCGACTCGATTCTTTGGGATCTGTCCGGTTCTTTGAGCACCGTTAGCGGTGTGAAAACTCTTACTTGGGGACTTGTTCTGCAAAGAAAGCGAGGCACACGCGACTCTCGAGTTATATTTTTGCATTTGCATGATTACGAGCTGTTTGACTTTGATTGTGGCATGCTGACAATCGTTCTCCTACAGATGCTCACACCCGGTGCTCTCCCCGCTGAGAACAAGCAGGCCCAACCTACTCTGTAAATGAACACCTCAACCCGAGGGTGAAAATACAACAGGTGTATTGGGCTCTACAATCGCGATGATGCAGCCGAGACCTCTGTTGTCCGGTCCTTCGTTTGATTTATGATCGTCGGTCTGCTCGGGATGAGTTCGCAATCAACCGCGGCCAGCACACGAATTAACTCCACTCACCAAGCGAAGCGACAGAGAACCTCTCGAGATTAAACGTGGCGCAGTGCAAAACAAAACATGATTTCGGGGAGGTGTTGGAGCTGGTTTTCTCTTCTCATATTCCTTTCTTCTGTTGGTTTGCATACTGGGCTGGCGCGATCACAGAAAATTTTTTGCGTCGTTTCCGTCACGGTTCAAGTCCTCATTTTCCCTTCGCCTGTTGTATTCAAGCCTTTGGTTTATCCCGTCCGTGTTTTCCCCGACATCTTCCTCGGGTCTATATGTACTTGTATAACAATATTTCATGTTCATTTCTTGTTATGTCTATTTCTCTTTGTTCGTTGATGTACGTTGCTAGATAATGGAACGTGGATGAACTAGTTCATGAGTCATGAATTTGACTTCGCCTAAGTACATATTGAAGCAACTGTTGGTCATTCAACCAGATTTAAAGATTATTGGGTATCATCGCGAAAGCAAAAGAAAATTAACTCAGGTATCTCTCAAGAGTCGAAGATGGCAGGTTATGTAGCAGGGTCTCGTCGAGTTTGTCGACGGCAGTGCTGATAAAGTATGTGCAAATGAAGACAGTGCAAGGAAGAACGAGGAGTCTGTATAGGCCTTACGAGAGACTCTGGACGCAGATTAGTATGTACCACATAACTGTAGAGAAGATTCAACAGACGGTCGTCTCTCTCGCTGATTTCAGGGTAATATGGAAGTCACGCCAGAGCTTCTTGACCTCTCCGCTGTCGACCATTGAGCCCATCACCTCTGAAGCATACCTGGCCCTTTGTTTATGACTCCAATGGCTGCGCTCAAGAACCTTGTCGTCCTCTAAGTAACCCATGCGTTCAAGGTAGTCGACAACCCACTCATTGAGGTGAAATCGCCAGTGGGTGAGAGTGTGCGCTAGCGAGGCTTTGTTTTTGCAATGGCTATCAAAGAGTCAATACGGAAATGCGAATGCAAAAGGTAAAGGGAGACAAACCGTCCAAGGTAGAACCGCGTGTCCTCCTCTGGCAAGCTGTAACCGTCTCTGTCCCTTTCGGCGCCTTCTTCCTCATCGTCCTCGTCGCTATCGTCATCTGACAACGGCTCGAGTGTCTCCAAGGAATAAGCCTTGCCATATAGCTTCATATCGAACGAAGCAGGATGCTTAGACCTGTTGCACGCGTCACAGGGATGATTGTCTGTGATCGGGTATAGAGTTATTTCGACATGAGGTCTTGCCAGGAGTGCTCGGCGAAATTTGACGTTCCAGACGGAAGATACCAGCTGAGAACCAGTGCGTCCTTTGACCTCGTCTTCGAGTTTCATGAATGCAACTTCGTACAGCGGGTCGGAACGAGGGAAGGCAGGGTTGATCTTGTTATTTACCATCCATTCAACAGCGTCTTGGAAGTATTCTTTCAGCTGTTTGTAGGCATGCCGAGAAAACTCAAACGGCAAATCTTCTAGACTGGATGGCACTCCCAGTTCGGCATTATCGTCCTCCAATACGAAATCGTCCTCGTATTGGTCGAGGTCCTCGTCCTCAGCAATAGATGACTCGACATCGCTCTCTTCCTGGCGGCGAAACTGCCGCTGATGAACTTGGCTTCCGGCTTCACTCTCGGGCTCATCATCAGGGTCTGCTTCATCCGGGTGCTCCGCGTCTGCGTCTGGTTCTAGTGCCGCTTCGTCCTCCACTTTCCCACCAGCCCTTCGGCGTCTTAGGGCTTCCAGATGACGTTGCCGTTGAGCTCTTGCCGAATTGGCTAGACGTCCTCGGGTCCGCGTATTCTTTACAACTACATGAATGGCCAAAGTTAGCAAGGAAGTCCTCCCAAAGATTGTATCTTTCATCAAGATATCCTACCAGAGTCCTGCAAGACCTCTAGATCCTCTTCGAGATCTAACCTCTCCTGGTCTGAGTTTCGCCGCGGTGTTTCGGGGGCATCTGAATTTATATTTGGCTTGCGTCTCTTGATTGGTGAAGAGCGGATAGGCTCATCAGAATCTTCAGAATCTTCTTCGACGACAATGGGCCTTGCGTCGGCGGCGCCACGTCTTAACCTTCGGCGAGGCTGTATAACCATGTCCTCATCACTCTCATCCGAGACCAGAACCTGACGTTCATTCGCAGGAGTCTTCGAGGACTTTGGTAAGGAGGGGGACCTCTTCCGCTTTCCCGATCGTAACCGCATATATTTGCGCGCGCTGCGCTGAATCTCCAGAGTACTATCGCTGCTCTCGTCAACAGTAATTGCGTCCTTGGCAGTTGATCGTGTTGGCGACTCGTCTTCGTAAACCTATGAGTGACAGGTGCACAAATAGCGAGGAAGACAAAACCCACCTTCTCTCGGTCTCCGAGGGGTTTGTTCTGGCTCTGAGGACGGCGTCACCTCTGATAAGACTTTCTTTGGCGGGGTAGATGATTCCTCTCGGCGCGTCAGGGTCTTGCCCCTTTGTAGTGGATTTCGACGAAGGGAAGGTAAGTAGGGATGATCATATCGTAGAGTAGCTAGACGATCATTCCGACTTCTCGTGCTCCTGTCAGAACCTGGCGGCGAAGATGACAGTGGAGCGAAAGAAAGTCGCGTCTGTTTCCCTTTGCCATAAGTGCGGGGCATGAGGAATGGGATTGAAATAGTTGCAGGAGTAATAACTGCGAGGGCTTAGTGTACAATAGATAACTTCTGATTGAGAAATACGAGACTTGACAGATGAGGACAGTGTGACAATACAGCGAGGCCAAAACGATGGCTTGGTGAGACCGCGATAGCACCGCGTCACCGATTCACGAGAGCACGTGACTCATTTTACCAAATTAGTGCTGGGAGAAATGGACAGAGACATGACACCATGAGGAACTACAGATCAGTGGAGAAAGATGAGAGTAGTGAGATCTCATGGTATTTACTCTGAACCAGGTTGGTAGCTGACCTCTACATAGCGAGAAGACTGTCTCTGAAGCATTCTACTACAAAACATATGATGAGCTGGACGTCACGACATTCAAGATGCTCGACCGAGATGGACTGTCTTCTCACTTGTTCTTGCTACTTTCAAAAGTTATCCACACAATTGCTACGGCCGAGTGAAGTGGTCGAAGAGATGAGGTGTGGCTTCCATGAGCGACATCTTGTTCCTTCCTGACTTTGCAAGACTTCGGCCATGCGGTATAGTCGAGCTCCTCGTAGTCTCCAAGGATCGCCTCTCAATTCTGGTCTTTGACATGAGAGCTTGCAGCTTTGGTATTTTGTATGATCAGTCTGAGCTATTATTGCTCCAATCCAATGTATTGTCAACAGCATCTTATCGCTCTCCTTTACGCTTTCCTTGCGCCTTTTGTCAACGTCACAGAAAGTCCAGGACTATCGCCGGACAAGTCCCTTAGCAATCAAACCTATGAGCTCGAATATTGCAATCAGGCACTGGTCAGCTTTAGTGGGCTCAACTACTCGGACGCTGAAGTCGACGAACTAGGACATGCGGTTTCCCTGGGTCGGCGACTGTGTTGGACTGACCCAGGAACAATACCTGGCCGAAATGTCTCAAAACACTCAAGAAGCTCGGAAGACGGAGTTCAATCAATTCTGAATCTGACGGTGACCCTGATGATCCCAGTGGGAAAAGAAGCGAGCATGCAACTATGGAAGCGGCTATTGACGCGATCTGATGACAGCCCAGAAGCTCTCATAACGCTCGGCGAAATTATAGTACTCCATTCTCGCCTGGAGCACAGCGATCCGCACTGGGAACGTCGCAGCAAAACCTGGGAAGGTCAACCAGAGGCAGCTTCGGCAGCGGACCCAGAGTCAGCATCTCAACGCGGAGAGGCACGAACTGAGACAGGAATATCAGACAATACCCTTGGCTTCGGCAGTGGTTCAGATGGCCGTGTTCGCCCTCATGATAACAATGACCTCGTCCGGAAAAATTTCTACAGTCGTCGCAGTATATGTGTAGACACTTTTTGCGAAGGGTTCGATCTGAAGAAGACTTGTGCACCAGAGGGTAAAACTCCGGCTAAAGAGGAGATCTGTGCACTATGTTATCCAGAAAGAAACCTTGCAGTCATTGAGAGACACTGCTCCAAGCAGGAGGTTAGTGGACGCCAAGCCTTCTACAGTGTTTGCGTGTTGCTCGGCTGCTTTATTGTGGTAGCTGTTGTTCTGTATCTGCTGCGCAGCTTCTGCAGACGAGTGCAGAGACGATACCGGATATTTCGGGGTCTATGTAGTGCCCAGACTTGTCGAAGTCCTGCCACTAAATCGAGGTCTTCCTCGGTCTTCCAAGTCGACTCTCTACCGTCTCTCTTTCCAGGATTTTACTCTCCGACCAAGCTAGAAGTATTGCAGAGGGAAAACGAAACTGGAGCGGACGACGCCAGTGATCCCACGTCGCCTTTCTTCACATTGAAACAGAAATGGCGTCAGCTCGGTGCGTTTCGAAGAGACTTTCGCGGAAGAATCCAAGATATCTTCGACATAGAGTCAATCGATACGGAACATGCGAAAGGCGCCCACTCCGCTCATAGAATTCCAGTTCTCCCTCGAGCGCCCAACGCAAGTATCCGAAGGTACTGTAGAGAGATAAAGTCCAAGAGGCCACCGGACTTCGTCAGTGGCGAGGGGACCGAGATCAGGAACGATGAGTCAGTCGTCTCTCATCCCACAAGTCTTTGTCAGACAGTCACAGGAGGTTGAGAGATTTCTCGACCAATTTGCCTTTTGACTAATCATCATCCCATTCTTTTACTCCTACTACTTGCTCCAAGCCTTCGAGGTTTGGACATGAAGGCAGTATCGTTCAGAGTTTAGCATGTCGGTATTCCATAGGTCGTTATATCTAATCTTAGTGCGGTCTTGCGTTAATGTAATGTGGCCAACCTTCTCTCTGAACAATGATTATAAGGCGTGAAATCATAGAAATTCGGTTGATAATACGGCTTGATGAAATTGTCGATCTGGAGACCCCAGATTCCAGACCCGTACATCCATAAGGTGAAATCAAGCCAGATACAAGTCACGTCCCATCAAATTATCTAGATGGTGGGTACTGCAATCAGCTGGAAAAGTCTGCCACTTCTGAGTTTGATGGAGCGACTGAATCTTGGCCAATCAGCTAAGCGTCATATGGCCTAAATGTGTTAAAGCTTGTTGAGTTGACTGGAATTCACCCGGGGATAATTGGGGCAGCCCTAACTATCTAGTGACTACGGAGTACCTTAGCGATGGTGGACTCGTGACACCGATGGAATTCCCTCCTGTCTGTGCGTCTCTTCTCCACGTTCACCAACAGACCTCAACTGCTTTCTCCACTAAACTTCCCTCATCACTAACTTATCATCAGTATTGTCCCCGGATTTCCATCGTAAGCGAACACAAGGCTTTGGTGCAAACCTTCCTCCACTATAGGACAAGAACTGGATCCTTGAGTCGCGCGCAGTCGAAACCATTGGTGGACTCGGTTTTCCCCATGGCCTTTGACCCAGCCGGTCGCCGATTCGTGGAAATCTTAGCACGTCCTTTATCAACGGGGCAGAATTTCCTCAAATCCGCGTCCGAGGTTCTACCGTGGCCAACGCCCACAAGGGTACTGGCTGCGGGCTAGATCAAAGTCTCCGTACCGAGTTCCCCGTCGGTCCACCCCAGATACCCCACCACTTAGAAACATGGAGTTGAGAGCTAGACACCATCACGACACCCAGGAGAGACAAGTCAATCGATGTTGATTGGACTGTTCCCTGGTGTTTTTGCTCTAGTGTTCACAAGGATGCGGCCATGGTCTTGAGTGTCCCATGGTCTCATATAATGGGCTGGCTCTTGCTGGTTTCTATCGCCTCGGACGCCATCTCTCCTCGCTCGACCTTTCACGGGGCCTATATATCTGTCTCTTGGAACCTCTGGGCAGAGTCTTGTCTTTCAGCATCTTTCGTCGTGTACAATACGACAAGCACCCTACGACAGTCTAGGGCTTGGCTGACAAGGACGAGAGACTGCGATTGGGCACCTGGTGTATACTTCTATCATCTTTTTTTTAGATCCTATACAAAGTCGTGTTACACGAATCATCCGCCAAGATGATGGCCAAATTCCTCTCCAAGAGAGGCTATAACTGGTGAGTCCTGTTTCTTGACGGGTGGAACGAAGCGATCGATCGATTGACGGCGACCCTTTTCAGGTTCATCTCTCTCGTTGCAGCAGCATGCATGGTTCTCTATGGCTACGATGCGTCCGTCTACAACTCCGTCCAGGGTTCCAAGAACTGGGTCAAATTCTTTAATAACCCAAATGAGAACATGATTGGCGCAGTCAACACGGCCTACACCGTGGGAGCCATCTTCGGTGGTTTCTTCTTGGGTGGTCCCATTGCTGATTATCTCGGCCGCAAAGTTGGAATGGGCACCGGCTGTGTCCTTGTTATTGCATCCACCTTCATGCAGACATGGTCCCCACGTGGTAACATTGGATGCTTCCTTGCTGGTCGCCTCATCATCGGTATCGGACAGGGTATTGCCTTGAGTGAGTATCCTTTTCCAATGGAGTGTATTTTGTCTTGCGCTAATCGAGTATATTTGTGAAGCCGCCGGTCCTATCTATATTGGTGAGCTGGCGCCACCAGAGATTCGTGGAAAAATCATGACCTTCTGGCAAATGTTCTACTCCGTTGGATCTTTCATTTGCTTCTGGGTTAACTACGGTTGCACAAAGCATAAGGAGAACCTGGGCGAGTGGGACTGGAAGATGGTTGTCATATTCCAACTGCTCGTTCCCTGTCTGATTCTGGCTCTTCTGCCAACAATTCCCGGCTCTCCCCGATGGTAAGCTCATGCAAACCTCAATACAACTTCAGAATAACTGACAAAGGTGTCAGGTTCCTCCAGCGAGGCGACAACGTCGAGAAAGCCCGCGCCGCTCTGCGTAGAGTCCGTGAGACTGAAGAAGAAGTTGAGGAGGAAATCTTGAGAATCCGCGAGGCCCTCGAGTACGAAAAGGAAGCCATCTCCAGCAACTACAGTGCGCTCTGGAAGGACAAGTCCCTCCGCAAGCGTATGCTTCTGGCGCTGGTGATCAACGCCGGTCAACAGGTCACTGGACAAGGTTCCCTGAACTCATATTCGACCAAGATCTACCAGAAGGTGTTTCCCAGCGCCGGAACGATCGCACTCATCAACGCCCTGAACGCCACCTTCGGTATTATTTTTACTTTGAACGCGGTGTGGATCATTGACCGCTTCGGACGCAAATTCCTCCTGATTGTCGGTGGTATCGGCATGGGTCTCTGCATGATCATTGTCGCCGCTGTTGAAACGGAAACACCATCGCCGCACGGGGTGAAGACAGAATCCGTCGGAATATCGATCGTGTTCTTACTATTCCTATTCATCTTCTTCTGTAAGTTATCGTGGTCCGTTCCGTACCCGACCCTACTAACATTCTTGTCTCAGACAAACCCTCTTGGGGTGCAACCGTGTGGATTTGGACGTCCGAGGTATTCTCGATGAACGTTCGTGCGCAGGCCGTAGGTATGGCCTCGCAGACTCAGAACGTCGCCAACGCCATTTTCCAACAATTCTTCCCCATTTTCCTGAAGAACTGCGGATTCTACGCGTTCTACATGTTCGCGGGTGTCAACTTCCTGCTTGCCGTCTTCGTCTGGTTCTTCATTCCTGAGACCAAGCAAGTTCCCCTGGAGGAGATCGACGCTCTCTTCGGCGGCGCCAACCATGTTACCAACGGTGAGCGGATGATGATTGGAGAGAAGGAGAGACATTTTGAGGACCAGGCCAATGAGAAGAGTGATGCGGTGACTATTGAAAACCTCGAGGCTAGACGGTAGATGTCTGCCGCTGCATTGCCCAAGTGACGTTGATATCATACCTTGCTGTATCCAGCTAATGTTTATGAATGGTCAATCTGGTATTGATACTGCGTACATGATTCAGTATTGTGTTAGTTTCGCTCTGTATAATCCTGCGCATTCGGCTGGCCTAATGTGAAATGCCGATAAGGGACAACCAACTTCATTCGTCACGGTAGTCTACAGCCATTGGATCAAACCACAACAACTGACTCATGTCCCTCGTGGAGGTAGTTCATAAACAGAGTCAGGCTAGGTGCTGCCCCTTGTCCTCCTGGGTTCAGACGTTGAACAGACAGCCCCATGGCACCATTCCAACCGAGTCTTTGATCATCACTCAAGTGCCTAGTAACTTACTAGTCCACTCGTAAGCAACTTAAAACTACACTGGTATCCAATCCTTTTCTAAACGGAGCTTGAGCGGAACTCCATTCCGCCCTGCATAAACAACCGACAGAAAACGGTGGATATGCCGTGGTCCACCGTCCGTGGATCCATCCCCGCAGTGGAATCTCTCCGCACTTTTTTATGGATCTGGGGAAGCTGGGGTCGTGAAGAAACGCCCAAGTCATGACTCGCAAGTACAAGGACAAGTATCTCTGATCTTTCGAAAGACTAGAATACACGCTGTATGGTTCGAAGTAAATCAAAGATTTGATACCATTGTATGTTGCGGGTATATTGCCTGAAACCCTGACTTGGATTTAGGCATGTAAAATCCAACCTACGAATTGCACTGCGGATCAGATCCTCGCCTGCTGCTTTTGGCGCCGATCCAGTTGCTCCTTTTTTGAGCAGCGGGTGTTATGGTTTTATTCATGATTAGATTAGTTTGTATTGCTGCCATGCTGGTAGTGCGTCCAGCAGTAATCATCTACGCTGTCAAGTCAGTCACCTCGAAGTAGTCACTCGTGAAATACTCCAGTTCTGTAGTAATGGTCCCCTGGAGAGCGGAATTGCCGTGCGTGCGTTCATGACTCGGTAATTCACCGCGGAATCAGGATAAAGATCCGCAATATGCGGGGTGTGCCGTTGCGTACGACATATGCATATTGAGCCTAAGCTACGAGTCCAATGTCTATAAAGGGTGTGGATATCTCGTCGATCTCATAGTGTGCTAAGGTAGTATTTTTCTTGTAGGGCTATAATCTAGCTGTTGCTTGTCTTACTTTACTAGGTACGAGCACTAGCACCAGCACCATGGACGAAAAAGACGAATGCACACACTCCACCATCGAGGATATCAAGTCCGCTTCCTTCCCGTCAGATGAACCCGATCACGCTGCGGAGAGACGGCTCCTGTGGAAATGCGACTTGCACGTCGTCCCCATTCTCACTGTCCTGTTCATGTTCGCCTTTCTCGACCGCATCAACATCGGGAATGCCCGGTTGATGGGGCTGGAGGGGGACCTGGGGATGACTGGGCATGAGTACAACATCGCCCTGTTTGTGTTTTTCATTCCGTATATTCTCTTCGAGGTGCCGAGTAATATACTCTTGAAGAAGATGAGGCCGTCCTGGTGGTTGAGTGGGATTATGTTTGCATGGGGTTTGTTGTCGCTCTTCTGTGCGATTGACATGGTGGTGAGCGATGCTGACGGTGCGGTAGGGATTCTGACCGTCTGTCAAGGCGTCACGAAGAGTTTCCACGGATTGGTGGTGTGTCGGGTGTTGATTGGGGTCTTTGAAGCGGGGTTCATGCCTGGTACGTTTTCTCTTTGATCCTCGTTTCAAGCTCGCATGCTGACTTCTGGACGAGGATCCGTCTACCTGATCAATATGTACTATCGTCGTCATGAGCTCCAATGGCGACTCAACGTCTTCTTCAGTGCCAGTATCTGTGCTGGCGCAATCAGCGGGGTAGATCCATTATCCTCTTCTCTTGATCAATCGGCTTGCTGATGCTCTCAGCTACTCGCTTACGCCATCAACAACCTGGACGGAGTCGCCGGGTACAGTGGCTGGCGCTGGATCTTCATCCTCGAGGGCCTCGCCACCATTGTTGTCGCGGTCATCGCCAAGTTCATTGTCGTCGATTGGCCCGAAACCGCCAGGTTCCTGACAGAGGATGAGCGAGCGCTGCTCCTCCGCCGTCTAGCAGAAGACCAAGGCGAAGCGAGAATGGATCGTCTGGATAAGAAGTCGCTGCGGCGTGCCTTTTCAGACCCAAAGATTTACCTGGGGTATGTCCTATGTCCTTCATCCTTCGATGTATAATAAACAAAGAGCTGAAATGACCCGATGAAGACCCCTCATGTACTTTGGTATAGTCAATACCGGCTACGCAGTCTCCTTCTTTACCCCCACCATCCTCAACCAGCTAGGATGGACCGCCGTCCGCGCCCAGGTCATGAGTATCCCTGTCTACTGCGTCGCCACGGTCATCGCCCTCTCCGCGGCTTATGCCAGCGACCGACTCCGGCACCGATACCTATTCACATTGGCGGGCTGTCTCATTGCGACTATGGGCTATGTGATACTGCTCTGCCAGGCATCCGTGCCCGTCGGGGCGCGCTACTTTGCCGTCTTCGCCATCACGGGCGGCGGATACCTGACGCAACCGATCCTGATGGGCTGGCTGAGTAACAACATGGCGGGTCATTACAAGCAGTCCATTGCGTCGGCAATGCAGATTGGGTTTGGCAATTGTGGAGGGCTGGTGGCCAGTAACATCTTCTTCAAGGAGGAGGCTCCGCGATATACTACCGGGTACGCGGTGAGTCTGGGGATGACCTGGATCTGCGGAGCGGCGTGCGCTTTGTTCCTCACTTACTTGGTGAGGGAGAATAGGTTGAGGGATGCAGGTAGAAGGGACTGGAGGTTGGAACTACCCCAGGATGAAGTGGAGAATCTGGGCGATGACCATCCTGCGTTTCGCTTCACTTATTAACTGGAGTCGAGGTGGTCAGTGACCCTCACATATGTTGTTCACGTCTGTATAGCGTTCTACTCAAGACAACGCCGTGGTCCGGTGGCCTGCGAACCGTATATCCCCAAGATGATATGGCTACGCCATTGAACCGAAACACGTATTCGTACGTGCAGTCGCTGTTCCACTGGCTGCCGGTTGCGTGTATAGTGTACTCTCCCTGACTTAACGTGCTTGAACCCCCCTGGTTCAAGATCCTTAGGCCGTACAAGAGGGCGACAGCAGTCTTAACCTGAGAGTCAGCGGACCAGATCGTAATCTGCGCATCTTGGGGACTATCTGTGAGCCGGTACACGAAGCTCGCAAGCTTCTGACCACTCTCGTCGTACAGATATTCTTTCTCATAAGCGGGGCTGGAAGGATAGCGTGGGGAGAATGTAGAAATGCCGGATGATACACCATCTTGTCCTGATCGAGTAAAATCCCAGCTACCGTGAAGGGCTCGAAAGATTGCCATGGCCACTGCTGGACTGGCACTTTCACTTCTAGGTTGCAGTGTCTCTTGCAGAGCCTGCAAACTCGTCTGGATATCGGCGGACCCTGGACCAGACATGGCGTACCGTGCCGGAGCAACAGGGCCAGGTCGTTCGTTGAGCTCCGGCAAAGGAGCACGGCATATCCCTAGATCCCGAGCAAAGGACTCCATCAGTCCGGTATAATCTCCCATTGGGAACTGTCCTCGGTGAAGATCCGGATCCGCATTCCGGTATTCTCGAACTCTCTGTCTTTCCTGTGCTTTGCTCTCCAGCTCTTTCGCTGAAAACTGAATGCCATGCTCTGCGTTGGCGCAAGCCCAGGTCTGCGCAAGGCTTCGGGCCTGCATTTCCATGACGCCCCAGTACGGTCCTCTATAGAAGCCGACAAAGCCCAGGTCAGGGATTTCGGCATTAGTCGTGCCCTTTCCATCTAGGATCAGCGGGAAGAAAGAGTCATCGGGTGAATACTCCAATGCAGAGAGAACGTCTTCCGGAAGAAAGGCGAGCGAAGGAAACGGGGTAAATCCCGTAGCCAAGACAATCGCTGCAACATCATCGAGAGACATGCTCTCCTTCCCAGGTAGCTCAATGTCAACTTTTGCCCGACCAGGTGAGGAAGCATGCACGGCTGAGACACGGCCGATGGCTGATCTGATTGCTTTTGACCGGACGAACTCTGTGTAATCGTTCCCTATACCCACCCACCGTAGTTGCAGAGTCTTCTCTTCGCCACCCTCTAACTCAACATCGTCAGGGCCGATGCCCGTATAGTCTTCCCCCAGAACGGTTCGGAAATAATCGTTCACTTTGGCGACCTGCGCTGCCGAGACAGGGCCAAAGGCATACTCTACCGGCCCTGCTGGCCGCCGAGCCAAATCATACATAGCCAAGTCAAGCGGGAGCAGGGATACCGTCTCCGTGCCAGTCACATTGTCCCTCTGCGTGTGTGGTACGTAGGTCGGTACCGTCCAAAAAGGCCGGCTGGATATGTGGTAGACTTCGGGGAAGCTACCTGTTTGCACCGATGACCCCGGCGCGTGCCTCATTGAGGAAACGTGAAGGGCAACAGAGGAAGCTGCCTCGACGCCCGACATACTTCCCCCTACGACAACCAACCTTCCTCCATCAGTGCCCTTCTCAACAATCGCATCCAGATCATCAATGCTGCGAAGCGTAGAGCTGTGGACAGTCCTGTCGGTGAAGGCAGCAAGCCCAGGGATGTCCGGCGTATACGGACGAGAGAAGTACCCGGAAGCAACGACCAGGAAATCAAAGTATTCGGTCTCCACTGCGCGTTGCTCGGTAGCATCTCCCTGCTCATCATTTCCACTGTTTCCCTATATCAGCCATGCACTAGGCAGGAATCCCGAACAAAATACCTCCCCTGCACCCACTGCACGGTCCATCGCGGCCGACCACCCTCTACCTCCCGAACCGCACGCACCACCTCACACCCCAACCTGACCACTTCGTCTGGTAGGTACCGCTCCGCATACGCCTCCAGATATTTGCCCACTTGCCACGCCTGCGGGAACATAGGTACATCCACAGTCCCAAGCACCGACTCCCACGCCAAATCGGAGAAGGACACGGTGAAGCGACTAAGGTTCGTTCGCATGGACGGATTCACTGGTCCAGCTGCGCCATGATCTTTTGAGACGCTTGCACGGCCAGGATTGGACCCTCTGCGATTGCGATAAATGGGCCACAGGCCTCCTATCTCATGGCGTTTCTCGAAGATGCTTGGGCTGAATGTGCCCTCCGGGAAATGGTGGAGGAGTGTTTTTGCCGTAACGAGGCCGGACGGACCAGCGCCTATTGAACAGTGAGTTCTTTAGAGGACTTGCGAATCCAGACATAATCTTTGATTTTGTTGGCATGGAGGCAATTCAATCTACCTATAATAGCGACCTTCTTTCGTCGCAGCATTCCGTTGCTTGCTATCTTATCCGCTTGTGAGTTACCCCTCACTAGAAATGCCTATTGTCAGGTGCATGAAAGATTTGGGAGACACAATACTAAGATGAAAGAGACCATGCTCATGTCAGTCTCTATTCACCTGACAACGATAGGATGAGTGTCAATTGTAGCGAGAAAGACCGGTGGGATCTCTAGTCGTGGTTGTAGTTGTGGCTGCTGCGGGGGGACTCGGAACGGGCGTGAGAAGTAAATATATGTCGACCGAACTATGAAGCACAGCAACGACGGGCAACCGCATGAGACCTAAGTACCCCAGGTATCTAACCAAATCAGCTCCTGGAAGTCGAAGGATGAGAAAACACTGAAAAGTTATTGATTCTCACTAGACTACAGAGTAGAGGAGAATTCATCTGCTATTATCATTACCAAGAGGAACAGCTCGGAATTGCTGTTGTTACGCAGACAAAATCACCAAAGCTCCAAGCTAAACAACAACAAAATTTGAAAGACGATTCTAAACAGAGGGTATCTATCACAAAAGAAATTTTCGCCTTGAAGCAAGACGCAGAAAAGACAGTGCCTGCTATGGCATCAAGGGATGAGCAAAAAGGTGAAAAAAGAAACGGCCCGAGCCGCGGATCGAACGCGGGACCTCTCGCAGATATGCTTGGGTTTATCCCTAAGCGAGAATCATACCACTAGACCACCCGGGCGTTGATTGTTGGATCAATATTTCGTTAATCGCTCCTCGAGCTGCTTGAGGTTCTTCGCTAGGTTGTCGCTTGTTGCATTGCGGCAGGGGGGCATAGACTTGCATACTTGGCGCGGCATATCGGGCGATGGCGTCGACGCCAAGAGAGCGATGAAAGTCACTTGTTTCCAGTCCAAATCGACAGGGTAGGAATTTCCTTGCGATAATGAGCCATTTTCGGATTGAGCTGAACGTGCTCGAACCAGACCAGTACTCGGTGTTGATAGGGAGGACAAGACATGGGCGGGGTAGTTCTCGGTCAGAAGAGGAGAGTATGTCATCGATAAAGTCAATTTGATTAATATGCCAGTCTCTCAAGCCAGGCGGATATTTGCAGCTCCGTGCGCCGTTCTGGTTTAAACGAATCGGAGAAGAGCTGGTTGGTGACCAGGGTGTCGATATTCCTTTCCGTCAAGGGGACTTTGTATTGGCTCTTCTGTTTCAGGAGTTCTCTCTCTGCTCGAGCGGAGGGTGACAGCCTGGAAAGTGTATTGCGGATTCGTTGAATGCCACCACCGGGGAAGGACGTTATCCGTGGAGGGCCGAAGGGGGTATCGACTCTCCAGGGGTCCTCCGAAGCGATAGAGCGGGCGTTTTTCTTGCGTTGCGAGCGGAATCTGGACATTGTGAAGGATAGGATCGACTGGTGGAAGTTTTTGGAAGTGCCTAGGATAGAAGAAGAAGAGTCGTGGATAGTTGGGGATCGTTGTCGATTGAAGGGAGACGCAGGGAGGGGAGGATGGGTGGGATGGCTGTATTAAGTATCCAAGAGGACAGTCAGTTAAGCAACGACTAGAGAAGACAAAGTTTGACCCACAGGCAGTCACTAGGCTAGACAGAGACAGGTGCAGTCCAGACAGGGAGTTAGGGAGTAATATGAGCTAATACACTCAAAGCCACTCAAAGTCGTGCGGGGGCGTTCTTGCTGGAACTCCTCGGAGGAGGCCAGAATACTAGGACTGGAAGGTCTCCCGGCAAAGACGTGCCGAGAGTGAAATGGATGATTGGGGAACTGCGACGTCAGGCTCCCTAGGTAGCTTGGCAATAATCATCGAAATTCCATTTGATCGAGGCAATAATGTGAATGATTGACTCTTATTGATCGGTTGGTTCTGCGACAGGCCAGAAACACTTGGCACACATTCTACTCGATGGACACAATGTACCTCTCTACTACCTTAGACTTGTTATTATTAGACAGGAGCATTACTCATGAAGAAAGTAGGTACTCTGACACTTCAAAGTGCAGAAGGCAGAAGCAGGAGTACCTGAGTACCTCGAACGGCGCTTTACTGAGAGTAACTCAACGACGTCATTCAAGAGTAACTGACCGAGTTGCTCAGTGTGGTACTTATGAATCCAGACCCACAGCTACAGGACCATGAATTACTACAGTACTCGTTTTCCCAGGAGAGTCCCCTTGTACCAAGCCAAGACAGTTCAAATTCCCGCTCAAATAGTTCAATCCAATGTCTTGAGCTGATGATTGATCGGGGCGCATACCAAGCACTTGGCGTAGATCATTGTACTACTGAGTATGGAGTACTTTATCCTCTTTTCCTTCTTCCGGGTACCTCAAAGTACCAGCTTACCTCAGTACGGAAAACAAATAAGTACAACAGAGCGATGGCCATAAGTCGACCAGAAACTGATATAATTGTTTTTCCATAGCTGATTGTACCCATAGGCCGTAGGAATTATCTACCGAGAACTCTGTGTGCTCCACACTCCGCATTGACTCGGTGGAGCCAGCGAGTCGCGATACATTCATCGCCGCTTGGCGGAAGTGGGCGCAGAAGATGAATTATTTACGA